AAGAAAAGAAAAGAAAAGAAAAATCCTCCAGCGTGTCTGAGGAGCGGATCAGAACTCCTCCACAGCTGGAAAGAAATGGCTGTGATCCAGATGTTTCTGTTGAGCCAACCAGCGATCAGGCTAAGAGGTTGATTACTTTCTTTGATTCCTTTTCCTCCCTTATGATGAAAACTTTCATTTAAAGCGCTTCGGTCTGTGGCGTCTTCCACCTCCTCACTTTCCCTGGAATCCTTAACTTTTTAGGAATTCTGGTTGGGAGTTTGTCTGTAATTCGGTTATCTACTGGCCCGGTCTGGCTGGCGGGGCGGCGGGGGTTGGATGCCGTATATAATCCATTTATCAGAGCTGACTGCTGGGCCTTCTTCCAAATGACAGCAATATCATTATGAAGAGAAGTAGTATGGAAATATGTAGACGGAGACGTCTGAAAAATAAAGTGGAAAAGGAGAAATCCATGTGGGACGTCATCCACTTCCACTTCCACTCACCGAACCTTCTTCCTGTTTGTGATTAAGACCAATCAGGTCAGAGCAGCTAATGAAAAGCAGATAAAGGGTTAGCACCTCTGCATTTATCTGTGAGCTGAGATAACCAGCTGCTAACTTTGGCTCCATCATGCATGCAGAGGGTCCCTCCATCCGGATCATTTCCCCACTTAGCAGGGATCCATCTCTGATTTCATTCTGCTGGGATGCGTTTGCACCGTCAGCTGTTTGGGGATCAAATGTTTGTGTAATGATGCCTCATCTGGCTCCGTGTGGGATGATAACATCTCAGAGCTCAATGCTGTTTAGCTTTAGCAGGTTCACAGGTCAGGAGAAATATCTTTACCGACGTTTTAAGGTAAGAAAGACTGAAGTCTTTTTTTCAGGAGAATTAATTTTCATTAAAAAGCAGAAACAACTTTATCAGAAAATCGGATTACCTGGAATATCCTGATCTGCTGAAGCAGGTGTTCTGTCAGATCAGCATACCCCATCAGACCAGCATTCCCCATCAGACCAGCCTACCTATAGTCAATAATCATGCACAAGACGTCAGATATGCATTTATTCCTTTAGGTTTGTGCGAAAAATAGACTTTAAAATACCTCAACGGACGTGTATCCTTTTAGTCATTATACAAAAAAATTATTACAGATCAGATGGCCATACCCTTCAAAAAACACAAAATAAACTTTTTTTTTAACAGGACTAAGCTCTAAGAGAATGGGCTCTAAGATTCAGATCCGTAACCATCCCAGATCTTCAGTGCTTCATAAAATAAACTGGACTCCTTCTTGTTTCGCCTCCCACCACAAAGGAGACATGTTGTGGAAACAGGAAGAGGTCCAGTTGTATTTATTTATGCTCTTAGGGCATCTCTAACCTCGGCACTTTAGCCCTGGAACCAGACCTCTTAAAACCTCAGTGGATTGTAGGTCTTTCTACCTTCAGGAAGTGAGTTCTGATTCCCCTGATGTCCAAGTCTGTATTAGCGCTGTGCTTTCTTTCTGCACTCGGTGTTTTCATGAGGTCCTTATTGGTCTTTTGATCCGCAGCGTGTCGGCAGCTCTTATCTCCCACTGTGAAACACACATTTAGGACCTGCACAGCCACTCTGCTCAGAGCGGCAGCAGAAGCAGCTCCCCGCTGAGCCCACCAAGTCGCACGCGCACGCACAAAAGAGGTTATTTTGAGGTCGCCTTGGAGGACACAATGGAGCGGCACGCCCACCCACACAAAGGCGTCCGCACGTGTCCGAAAGCCTGGCAGGAGTCTGCGAACATGAGCGTCTGTGTGTTTCAATGTGCGCAGTGTGACTAAAGGCTTTCAGAGGCACAATAAGACGTGTGCCTGTGTGGTGATTAATACCGGGACAAAAGAAGCGTGCCCGCTCTGTTGTTATCAGCTCACTGGAGACTCACAGGCCTGCCTGCAGGTTTTTTTCAGAATGAAAAGAGAGAAATGAAAAGGTGAAAAAAAAAAAAAGGTCTTCCTTTATCTGAACCATCATCCTGACCACATCTTTAGACAGCAAAGCTCTCCGTAGTGCTGTTAGGATGCAGCCCTTTGTCCTCCCTGGTTCCTCTGGCTTGTGTCAAGTTCCTCTTATTGATGATGAACGGTCTTCTAAGTCCGGCCTAGTTAAACCTTTATTTGGGATCACCTGCTCTCTAACGGGGATGTCTAGTTAGTAGGATGTTTTTCTGTAACCATATGCTGCTATAGGCTTATGCTGCCGGAGGACAGGGACCGCTTTTCTTCTCTCTGCCTTATTCTTCTTCTAGATTTAAACTTATACATTTTTAGACTTAGACAAAGTTTATTGCCATTTTTTATACAAAATGAAATTTCTACCATAAAGTTTGGCCGTATTGGTTAGTGTGACTCATAACTTTATGTTCAGTGTTTCTGTTTCTGTTATTTTAGCTTCATCTGATCTGGTTCTGTTTAACAGCAACATCCTCCTGCAGGAGGCATCATTTGGGCGGATTTTCTCAACTATTTCCACCACAGATTATACAGTTGGGCCTGTTTTTCAGTGTTTATTGCTGTTTCTCTAACTTTTACTGTGAATCTTTAGTCCTTTTGACATGGGAACTGGCTCAGAGCTTGTTTAAACTGTGTCTGTCGTATAGAGTTTACAGTTAGCTTCTCTGACACATTCATGGATCAATGCTTCTATCTTCCCTTTTGTGTGTCTGCTTCTGTTCTTAAGTCAAGATTCAAGAGACTTTATTGTCATTCACATCACATGTTAGATGAGGTAAACGAAATTGAGCGTCACGGCCTCAGTTACATCCGAATATATAAAAAAATAATTTATAAAAACTAGCTACAATATAAAAACAAGAAG